GGGGGGGGGTGGGTGTCTGCTCCAAGGATTTAAAAATGCTTCAAACACTTTTTTCTTTACAAATGACTGATAGGACACAAACCTGAGCAGATGGCCTAGAGCTTTGGAAAATGACTTGAAACAGATTTTATTGAAAAGAAAGAGCAGTTCATCATGTATGGGGGGGGGGGTGTGTGCATGTGTGTCTGTGTCTGCGGGCATATCAGAGTTTTGGCTGTGACAAGCACAGCCTTTTTGCAAGACAGTAAAACGAATGTAAGTATACACGGTGCTTATTAGATTGTGCAAGAAGAGAACTAGAAAAGACTGATATTTTGTAAAACAGAGTTTAGATAGAAGAGATGAATAAGTTTATGAGACTTCAGCTGGTACTATAGTAAGTCTGGACTGGGAACAGCCTGCTGTAGAGGATTTAGAATTCCCCATAATAAACGGAATAGCCTGCCTCTGCAGGCAATTCCTGAAGGCCGTGGGTGCATCAAGAGGCTGGCACGCTGCATTGGTATTATTGCAGTGCGGAGTTTGTGAGAGACGCTGGTATTGCTGTTCTAATAAGTGTCGGGGCACATGCCCCGAGTGTAAATTAAAGTTTTCTGATCAAGCTGATTCAGAACCTAAGATCTTAAAGCTCGTGTGTAGGAAATCACATCTGATACCTGCCACCTGGAGCTATGTGTGGGAGTGTGGGAGAGGAAGACTGGGAAACTACTGTGAAGGACATAATGAGAACTAACCAAAGCAAAGAGGTTCCGGAACTAGCCCCTTTTGGGAGAGCCTCGCTGGAATAAGGCTGCCAGTAGAGGCAGCTCAGAAAATAAAAAGTTTTATAATACCACATTGCAGTTAATACTGTTTTAAAATGGGAAGGTAAATGGGATGAGGTTTTGTATGCTGATATGTTTTTTGTTTTAAGAAATCACCCAGAATGGCAAAGAGACTGTGGGATCAGACCGCCCTCTGGTCTTGGCCCTTGAAAAGGAAAGCAAAGCAAGGAGAAGGGAAATCAAATGTGTTGTTCAGCATGCAGCATAAGATAGCAATGTATGAAGTCAAACAAAGATTATCATGCTGAAACGCAAAGCGATTACAGTTCGCAAAATGAGTACATATGACTTGTTAAAGGCTCCTCCTAAGGTAAGGGAGGAAGGATAAAGATGACCTCCCCAAAAGGGAAGAAGACTTAGGCTCCAAAAGTATACCCACTCAAACCCATCCCCCTCCTGGCCGTTCAATTTCATCCAGAACTAGGATGTAACAGACCCCTCTGCAAGAGGCAGTGAGATCAGAAGAAAGAAAAGGGTGGAATTTTAGTTGATACAGAGGCCATATGTTCAGTTTTAAAGCTTTAGTACCTGTGGAGAATGTTTATGTTGTAGTATGGGGAACAACTGACCAGTCTGAGAAGGCATACTTTTGCAAACCTTTAAAGTAACATTTGTACTTAGAAGTTTTTGTACAATTTGCTCAATTCGCTAAACATTCTCAAATGAGAAAGGTTACTTCCTCTGGAGGCAAATGATATAAAGATGTTAGGCTTAACATTAACAGACACTGAAATTAAGAAAGACATTGGTAAAGAGATGTTAGAATAAGTAAATAAGTAGTTTTGGGGGTATGGGCCTCTGCTGTACCAAGGAGAGTGAAAAATACCCCCCACAGTAATCAAGCTTAAGGAAAGAGCACAACCAGTGAGAATTGAGCAGTACCCCCTCAAAAGGAAGATAGGAAAGGAATCAGCCCAATAATCGATAGTACTGGATTGAGGGCTATCAGTAGGATTACAAAGAATTTGTACCCTGTGGTAGCAAATCCATATACTTTACTAACTTAACACCTGAGCTAACCTGGTTCACTGTTTTAGGCCTAAGAGATGCCTTCTTTTGCCTCCCTATCCATGCAGCCAGCCAGAAAATTTTTGCATTCAAGTACAGCTCACATGGTTCATGTGCCTGAAGGCTTCAAAAATTCCCCACTCCAATTGGAGAACAGCTTGCAAAGACCCAGAGTCCCGGGAAGCTCCACAAGAGGAAAGGAGGCTGTTGCAGTACGTGAATGATCTTCTAGTAGCCACTCAGACGAGGGAAGCGAGAGAAGCCTGGACGGTAAGCCTGTTGAATTTCCTAGGACTCCAAGGATGCAGAGTCTCAAAGAAAAAGGCACAGGTAGTGAACCAGAAGGTAATCTACCTGGGGTAAGAAGTGAATGCTAAGCAGCAGACTTTAAGGCAGGGAAGCCATATGCCAAACCCCGAAACCCCAGACAATGAAGGAACTCCGAACCTTCTTAGGCATGGCAGGGTGGTGCCAGCTGTGGGTTTATAATCATGGACTGCTTGTCATACCCCTCTATGCTCTTATTGCCAATGGAAACTGAGATCTCCAGTGGACAAAAGAAGCCACACAGGCCTTTCACCAGCTAGAGAGTGCCCTCATGTCAGCTCCAGCTTTAGGACTTCCAGATGTAACTAAACCATTCTTTCTATTTTTCCACGCAAGGAATTGCCCTG